GCTCCTTCCTTGCTCTCCTCCACCGCCCTCTTCTCCTGCTCCTCCTCCACCGCCTCATACCGCCTGCCGCCGCAGCGAGCAGCAGCTCTCTCCTTCAGAATCTCCAGCAACTCCGCCACTGCCTTGTCCTTGTCTCTCCGATTCTTTATCAACAACTCGCTCACATCCGCAGGGGTCATCTCCGCCTTATCAATCACCGCCTCAATCTCCTTCCAAACACCGCCGCCGGCGGCATTCTTTGCGTCTACTTCCTCGACTCCTAGATAATTCTTCAGGAGAATCTTCAAAGCCGGGAACGAACAGTAGCTCATGAAAATGTGCATATCCATCCTCCCGCTCCGCAACAGAGCCGGATCCAGCTTCTCCACGTGATTCGTCGTGAACACGAAGATCCTCTCGCTGCCGCAGCACGACCACAATCCATCGGTGAAATTCAGCAATCCGGACAACGTAATCGAATTACCTCCCTCGTCGGAGCCGCCTCCAGCTCCTCCTCTCATCTCCGCCGCCGCCTCGTAGAAGTTCGACGAGCCTCCCCTGTTTCCGGCGCTGGAACAGCTCTTCTTCCGATTCCCGAGGTTAATCGAGCAGTCGATGTCCTCAATCACGATAATCGACTTGGAGCTCGTCTTCATCAGCAGCTTCCTGAGCTCGGAATTGTTGTGGACCTCCGTCAATTCGAGGTCGTAAATGTCGTAACCTAGAAAATTGGCCATGGCGGCGATCATGCTCGACTTCCCCGTCCCCGGGGGACCGTACAGGAGGTAACCACGCTTCCAGGCTCTCCCCGTCCGCTGGTAAAACTCCTGCCCTTCGGCGAAATCCCTCAGATCTCGCATGATTTCGAGCTTCTTCGCCGGATCCATGGCGAGAGTGTCGAATGTGCTGGGATGCTTGAACGGGACCGACTCCCACGGATGCCCCCTCGCGTCCAGAGATCCGCCGCGGGAATTCGTGTACAGCAGCCGATCCTGATTCTTGCGGCGGATCTCCGCCGCCCGCTCCATAATGTAATCGAGGTACGAGTCGAGGACTAGGGATTTGTCGTTCTTACTGATTCGGAGGGTGAATCCGCGCTTCTCGTCGGGCAAGGGGCGCCAGGAGAAGGACTGGGAGTGACGCTGGGTGACGACGTGCTCCCAGAGGACGGCGGCGCCGTTGAAGGAGTCGGCGATGGAGTCGTTGTTGGCGAGGCCGAAGGTGATGGCGGAGGAGTTGACGGCGCGGGTGAGGGAGAGGCGGGTGCCGGAGATGGAGACGGAGGAGGAGAGGTAGAGCTGGACGGCGTTGTAGAGCTCGTTGGTGTTGACGCCGTCGATCTCGGTGATGTCGAAGTAGACGTAGGAGGAGAAGAGGTTGAAGAGGCGGCCGGTGAGCTTGAGGATGGCGAATCGGAGCTCTGGCGGGAAGATGGAGTTGACGATGCTCTGGCAGAAGGCTAGGACGCCGAGCAAGGAAGCGAGGGAAGTCCAGTACTCTTTCATTCTTTTTTGTTTGAAAATGGAGTTTTTTGTTGAGAGAGGGGAGTGTTTGTTCTTGTGAAAGAGGATTGGGAGCTGAATTTATAGAGGCAGAGGAAATATTTTTGTTTGGCAAGGGAAAGGGAGGAAGAAGAAGTAGAAGGGAAAAGGGAGGGAAAGAGAAAGGCACAAAACAGGGTGGGGATTGGGGAGCCAACTAGGATTTATGTAAGAACATATATGATATATATACCTCCATTCATTCAATATTTTATCTTGTGTTTTGATCAAATAATTGGTTTGTTGTGTTCAATTAGATGTTTTTTTTTTTTTTTTATTGTCAATTAGATGTATTCATATACTATCAATCTCTATATTTTATTTTGATTCGAGAAAGTGATTACTTCTGGTTTTTTATAATTATGATTTTACTGATTTTCTTTTTTCTATAATACTAGAAAAGTGTGACAGATTTGTAAGTTTGATTAACTTTTGCACTTAAAACAAAACGGTCATAAATTAAATAGCGGTGACCATTTTATATAATTTCAAAGTTTTGTTACCGTATTGTTACAAATTAAAGGTTTGTGACCATTTTGTACTAAGTGCAAAGGTTTGTTACCATTTATGCTAATTACCCATCTAATCTCAAAGGAATCTGCTATCTAGACCAACTCGCCTAGTCATCTTTAGCCACAGCCCACAAGGCCCACAACGCGAAATTGTATTAAATGTGTCACCATACACACATTAGCCTTGCGTCTATCGAGATTTTACACCTAGTATGAGAGAAAGAGCAGTGTGGTGTTGTGGACTGGACAATAGAGTGGTTTGTTTGGTCGTTTGGGTGGGACGTTTTGTCCACCACCTCACCTGTATCTGCAGGCCTACTACTCCCCTCTTCTGTTCTGTTACGAAAAGATTTGCGAGCATCTAGTTTTGTTTCTAATGCTGCATTATTATTATTATTATTGCATCTCTTTTGCAGCTGTAAGGCAGATGAGGTTTTTGGGGTTTTGTTTGTTCACCAGCAAGTGTGGGGGACGGGAGGGAGGGGAAGAGAAAGATTCGTTTTTTTTTTCCTTCCCCTTCTTCTTCTGCTGGGTGGTGGGTTTGGTTGGATTGCTCTGCCTCTGCTACTTGGCTCTGCCCTGTGCAGCTAGCTAGCTAGCAGGCTGATAGAGAGAGCTGACAAGAAGAGTGAAGGGAAAGACTGTGAAATGAAATGAGAGAACAAGAAGAAGAGTTGACGACAATGAATGAGGTCAAAAAGAAACAGTAGTTGTTGTAATAAGAGCTTAGTTGATACTTGATAACCTAATCTCTGATGTCTTGTATCCATGATGGACAGCTGAGGCAGAAGAAGAAAGACTCGGGAAGACTGCCCAACAGCAATTCAGAAGTGTGTTGTGAGAAGCGCAGCTCGGGTGTAGAGCTACGTCGGGATAGTTCGATCCATATGGATACATTTTTTTTTCTTTTGCGGGTGTGAAATTCTGCACCCTAGTCATTACTCATAATAACGGGAGGTTTAGATATCATTGAACCATCTCATTTTATCAAGTACCGGAGAACCAAAATCAAGAGAACGACCACTGCCATCGGCTAAGTAATTTGCTGCAGGAAAAATAATTGAAGTATCGTGCAAACAAAGGTGGAGACGATGACAACATGAACAACGAAATTGAGATTGGAATGAACCCGAACTTAAAATAGCAGAGATTGCAGTAAAAATTACGATTGACTTAAAATGGATTGGCCGAGAATGAGATAGAAATGAAGCAAAGACACGTATCCATTGTTATTACTCATGTTATACGAGAATTCAACAGTGTCCTGGAACTGAATCGAGTCAAGATTAAACGAAACGGTACGATTCAGATTGAAATTGAGATCTCGACTCGATCTAGGGTATGAGGAGGGGTGGGTTTTTTTTTTTTTTTTGCCCGTATGTGTAGGTGTGGTAGCCACCGAGGCAAAAGAAGCCAGTGGGAGGCTATGAAATGAAACCCTATGATGTGGCTGATTTCCTAATTCCAGAAGGATTTGCTCCTCTACCAACTGTCAATGGACCCCTGGACTCTGCCTGTGTTAGCTATCCCATTTTTAACTTACTCACTTCTCTGGCTACCAATCGGCCAAGCTGCCTGCCTCTTCTTTCTATATGTAAATATGTGATTCCAAATCCTCTATGGTACTCCCCCAACCCCAAATAGTGAAGCATAACAATTCACAAAAGTAATGATTAGGTACCTTCCTCACACACGCTCAATCAATCATGTGAATGAGTTGTACTGCAGGAGTTAGCGGTTTTCCCTATTGATTTTGGAGTCATTACATAAGTTCTTTGATCAATTAAATTATATATAAACTTTAGCGAGTTGAGTAATAAGATTCATCGAACAATCATTGAACGGTACGAACCCTTATTTTCTAACAATGACCCAAATCTACTTGGTTGTGCCCGAGTCTGTTCGCGTCCATGTACTTTTTTCGACTCGAATTTCAGCCATATGAATGATTAACCAAAAAAAAAAATCAAGCTATGAACACGATATTGCAATGCTATATTGGTCTACTAGGATTTAGACCAAGACTAGTAGATAAATCACAACCATATAGAAAAGTAGTATGTAGGAAAACAGAGTACATATAACAATGGTGGTCCGACTCGAACGTGAAATATCTCGCTATATGTTAGTTTTGGTACGATGTCGAGAATAGGGGGGGGGGGGGGCAAAATGGGAGAGAGTAAAACATAGTAATGTGTGTGAGAGAGAGAAAGAAGATAATAATCCTACTGTGGCAGTGGCTGGGCTCAAGATGAGTTATCTCTATCGCCATTGTTCTGTACAAGAAATATTGTTCTTGGGGCCATTAACGAAAGATGAAAGGAATCCTCTTTGGATGTCGTTACTGTGAACCCTTTCTTCTGTTCTGTCCATGGAGTGGAGGACCAGTGCCCTAGAAATATTTTGTGCACGTTTCTCAAATCGCAGTGGCATGCAGAGGCCAATTTTTGGATTCAGATGGCGCCAGAGCCAGCCAATGGGTTGATTGAGGTTTTTGGGGTTGGGCTTTGGCCACACTGACAAGCAATGTGGTTTTGGCATTATTAGCTGCAGCCTGCATTATCTGAGGCTTTTGAGTGTATCCAAAGCAACCTCAGACCCCCTCTCTAGTCTGTTGTCTAGTGTAGACTGTCTTCTTGTACTCAACTACTATGATTCATTGATTCTCTACATCTAATGTGGCGAGGAGTAGACTTTTTAACCAGTTATGATTTATATTATAGATTGTGACTTCAACTCGTATGATGTCTAAGTAGAGACTTTCGAAATGCGGACGATGATAGTTATCTGAAGCCTCGAGTTTATGTAAACAAGAGACTGGTTGTAATCGGGAGGTTACGCACAATTTTACAGTATAAACTTACGGTTCTACGCTCACCTTTTAACTATGGTTCAACTATATCGCATGTCACTGTTGTCATTATTCACCAAGTACTTAGAATGCTCACCAAATTAGGTCAAATGCTTAGGCTTTCCCATCCAGCTGAAAGCCTGAAACACTTGGCCACTCTCAACCACCAACCCAAACACCCCCAATTTCCCAATGTATTGGGCCAATGCAATCCCATTATCCCACAGTCTTTATAAGCCCACCAATTCCTCTGGACAACAGGTCAACAACAGCACAAGAAAAGCAAGTGAAAGCAATTGAATCCCAGACTCCAAACTTATACACTTTCAAACCAAGATCTCCCTCAGATCTAACCTCAGAATCAACTGAATATGGATATCACATGATGGTTTACAGTAAAAACAGTTTGGAAATGTCCTTTATCAGCACTAGCATACGAAAAGGAAAACAAACTACAACCAGATCTTACCATAACACTCTAGACTCCAGCTTCACTCTCAAAATCGAACGCTCCCAAGAAGATGATGTAAACAAGTTTTAAGTACAAAATGGCCACATCAAAGTTTCATAACGTCAGCAGCAAAGAGTAGCCAAAACAGAGATGCAGTAATTCTCAGTCGACCAAAGCACCAATGACGATCCTAATAGGAAACCTATATACTGTGGGGGTTTTGAATTTCAATTCACGTCGAGTCCCGTAGCAGGGGAGCTGCCAATGCATTTAATCAATGGCGATGATGAGAAACCCGACGGATACGTACATGAGAAAGACGGGATAGAGTGCGAGGGCCTTTCGCCTCGGGTTCACTGCTGAGCTCATGAAGGGGTAGGCAGCCCATGAACTCCAAGCTAAAGTGACGCACACCACCACTATCTTCAGGATCACGTTGTCCTTCAACATGCAAATTAGGGCCCCCACATCCAAAGGGAAGAGACAGTAACCTAGAAGGCTAAGACTCTGGAAGAAGATTATGTGCCCACCCTGTAGACAATATAAAGATTTCAAGACCCCTCTTAGTATCCAAGATTCAGACCAGTTGAGAAAACAAAGCTGAAACCAGAATTTGGAATCCGGTACAGATTCAAAAGGGTAATGCCACACAATTAAAGTGACAAATTTCAAAGAGGATAGAAAGAAGAGGGAATGAGGAGCTTACCAGTAGCAGAACATTCAAAGTCAATATGACAGCACCAGCTGCAAGTAGAGCAAATGCAACAGCAAAAACCTCAGACTGCAAACAAAATGGAAATTTGTTAGGGCTGCCATAACAAATACAACAATCCTTGCAGCAAAACAAATGCACTTAAAGCTGGAACACTTCCTGATGAATTTAAAACTAATATGATTAGTACAATCATTCAATAGCCGGTCACCAGAAAACTCTCACATGTAACAGTATAGACATTGACCCCAGTTTTTCTAGTGGGAAATCAAGGCACCTTTATGTTATTGCAACTCAGATCATAAGTGCAAAACTTCGGTTGGGATAGATCCAATTACATTACATCTCTTCTTCTACCATGCCAGGTTTGAAGAACATAACTTTGCCCGTAACATTGTAATACCCAAGCCACCAAATCATCTTGGCAGCTAGCAAGAAACAACTTAAGAACGAATCAAGTTAAGCGCCGTACACCCAATAACCAACCAGATGTAGGGAACAAAATCAACCAAAGAAATACAAGGAAATGATCTAACTACAATTTGAACTCATTCCTTCCTGCTTCCCTTTCATTTCCAGAAGTTCACCAGAGTAACTAGCATTGTAGTAGATGCTTGTTTAAAGGGTAAAAGCAAACTAAACCCATCAAAGCAACTAGATACAAGCAGAATATACCCCCCAAATGATGCTTTTGGAAGCGGAGCTACGAGAGCAATACATTTGATCGCTACATAGGAAGAAACACGAACTCACAGCAATCAGAAATTTGTATCATTTCTAATACCAGTACACCTAATCCTATGGCTACAGCTCATTCGTTCAAATCCTAGCAGATAAAGAACTTTCTCACCAAGCAAAATCTCAAAATCGAAGTCAAAACAACGAATTGGAAGTTAAAGCTGACCTTCTTCACAGAGGCGGACCAAGAGAGGACGAGTCCCAAGAACACGATGAAGAAGAACGGGCCCCAAAGATCCCAATCCCTCAACGCCTTCCCCGGATCCTCCCTAAACGGATTCGGAAACACCACCAGCTTCAAATTGCTCACGATCCTCGACAGATCTCTCTTCACCGTGTCCCATACGGGCTCCGTCAACGTGTTCGGAGCCGGGCCGAATCCAGACGCCGCGTAATTGTTCGATCCGGCCGAGTTCCCGTGAGGTGGCTGGGCGGCGGGCGCGGGGACAGTGGCGGGAAGCACAGAAGGCGGCGCGGAGGACGACGGGAGAGGGGGAAGCTTCGCTGCCGCTGTCGAAGGCGGAGGGAGGTTAGATTGAAGAAACGGAGAGGACGAGACGGGGATCCGCGGCGGACTCGGTGGGCGGGCGGGTTGAACTGTTGCCGGCCCGGACTGGACGCTGGCGTTGATTAGATTCTCGATCTCGTCGATGTCCGACTGCGAGGAAGAGTGGAGGGGGATGGTGTCGCTGTGCGACATTGTTGCTCGATTCACCGCTTTCTTTCACCCTTCTGAGAACTTCGCCGGCAAATTGATGCAAAAAAATTCCTTCTGCAGCAGCGGAGATAGATTAGATAGATCTGTGCGGGGATGAGAAATCCGAAGCCACGATCGCGGTCGGTTTGCAGGCGTTTTTCAGGAGTAAAACGGCGTCGCTTTCACGTCATTTTGAAGGGAGCTTTTTTTTTTTTTTTTTTTAATGTTTCCAGTCACACAAGTTGTTTCTCTCTTATTTATTTCACTTCTGGATGAATCGTTCATTCGTTTGTCTTTCTTTCCTCTTGAGGATTACTTTTTGCTTAACTTTTGACGGCATATTTCCTTCTCCAAAATGGGTTTACACTTTACAGCCCACAGCTCCTGAGCCCACCTCTGAAAGGCCAATGTCAATAGGTAGACTAGATCCACATTATATTCAAGCCCAACGTGTAAATATAGAAGCCCAGCCATGTCCCTCTTGCCTTTTGACTGCGTTTGGTCAATTTCCATAAAGGAACAGACAGCAAACTTCTGGATTTGGCGAAGTATACGGCGGCTCGGTGGTGGCGTGGGAATGGGATAGTGGATCTCTGTGACTTTTGGATCTTCGCCACCACGTGAAAGACTTCACTCCGGTGGCCGCTTTTGGAAGGAAAGTGGAGCTCCGTAGTTACATTACCATCATAAAAGTGACCGGTTTAGTGCAATTGGTGCAAAGCGGCCTAATAGTACACAAATAAATGGCATTCAAAATTCAACAACTTTATGTCTTCTGCAAACAAATTATATATAATCCTAAAGATAAGAGGATACAAAAGTTGTTGAAACTTTACTCGTCCAATCTCTACACATTACCAAAAAATAATTATGTAATGAAATCAAATTGTTGTAATGAATTTTTATTGTCGTTGACTCGTGGTACTAAATTTTTTTATGGTTATCGAGATTAAATAATATCATGGTGTGGTTGTAACGTTTGTGATCCGAAAGCTAATATTCGATCTCAATGTACACCAATGTTTTAATCTAACCACATCATATTGTGAATTATTTCAAATCCAATTGGTTTTTTTTTTTTCTTCCTGCAAATGAATATACCCAATTTTCATTCAAATCGAGCCGGAGTTCGAAAAGTCATTAAGAGTCTCGCAAAATTCAAGAACAAAGCATAGCATGCCGTCCACAGCCAAAGGAAAGGAGTGAACTCGACGAATAGGGTAGTCAATACACTTTTTACCCTCTCTCTATACAAATGGAAAATGACAACAACTCAATCTCTCAGAGCGAGTGGCTAGACTTTCATTTGAAATTGAAAGTGATCATCCCACTGAAATATCAAATATCATATCCATAATTTCCGTCGTTACTTTTTTTTTTTATTTCACATATCGAATAACTCTTTCAGTATCGCCAAATAATTAACTAGCCAAATATCCCCCACCCCAAAAAAAATGTGATGAACAAAAATGAATATAACTCAAGGAATATGATACAGCTTGGAAGGCTTGAGATCCTTGGTAGCATTGAAATACTTCAAGGTCTCGATCCACTTGGGTTGGTTCTTCAGCAAGTGAACCGCGATCGTGTCCGGCCAGAACTCATGCGTGCAGCCCGACGGCGGCACCGGGAAATTGTACATCGACCACTTGGCATTGTGCCGGTTCCTCCCCCGCCGCCCTTCCTTGAGCCACGATCCAAACACCTTGTCCTCGGGCCCGTCCAGGTGGTTCCTCGGAATCTCCGACTCCTTAATCCACTCCACTATGTCCCACGACACCAGGTACCCCATGCCCGACATGTACTCCACGAACGGGTCCATGCTCGGGCACGGGATCACGTACCCGTAGTACAGGTCGTCGCGCGGCAGCGGCCGCAGCGACGACACCAAATTCCCCAATCGGAAGTACGAGTCGTCGTCTCCCTTCATCACGTAGTGGTACGGCGGCCATGGTTTTGCCTCTGTGACGGGACACAAAGATAAGTTTTGGTAAAAAAAAAATAGAAAATCTCTACAAAATTAGGAATGACAATGTGGCAGGCTAGGGCAGATATCTCGATAATTATATACCCGTCCGTAACAGATAAGGGGTTCAAGTATGATAACTATTTATCATAAAGAGCAAATCGAAATTGATCGACTCATATGAATATATAATTTAAAGAGTAAACGTTAGCAATGTTGATTTTATCATAAAAAGAAATCAAGAATCAAACTATAACAATATAGAGATATGGTTATAATTACTTGACAAATTGAGGTTCTCACCTATATACAATATTTTCAAAGTAATTTGAATAAAATTACTTGTAATTCAGATAAAGTGCGTCGAGAACAAGGTGAATCAGGTCACAGGGAGAGTACCCGTGCCTGTCCTGGCCCATACTCCGTCTACAAGACAGATAGTACCCGCTCAAAATATATCATACAGATAGGATAAAACGAGTAAGATCCAAATTGTCTCTCACTACATAAAATTAGTTTATTTGTCATTGAAGAAATAGTGTATAATTTTGAAAAAGTACACACCTAGTTGAGAGGAATTGTTGTTGCCGTTGTCGGAGAAGATGTCGGGGAGGGTGGAGAAGTAGGTGAAGGTCTTGCCGTTGTTCATGTTCTCCTTGCAGTTGAGGATGATGATGTCGTCGAAGCGCATGATCTCGAGGGCGACGAGGATGGTCTGATCTTCCTTGGTGAGGTTGCAGAAGACGAATTTGACGTCGATCTTGGCGCCCTTTGGGGCCGGTTGGGTGCCGTAGACCATGCGGAGGAAGTGGCGGCGTGGGTACTGGTCGGGCAACGTCAGGATGCCGATCAGGATCCGGATCTCATCGTCGGCGGCAACGGCGACGGTATTAGTAGCGTTTGAGGAGGAAGAGGATGAGTTGGTGATGGCGGCGTTGGTGGTGGTGGTGGTGGAGATGATGGAGCCGTTGCAATGGCCGAGGTTGAGGAGGTGGTCGAACTGGACCTCGTTGATGGAGGCGAGGAGGCAGAAGAAGAGGATGAAGGCGATGGAGGAGAGGATGAAACGGCGGTGGTGCTGCCCATGGCGGGAGTACGGCGCCTTTGTCACGAGCTTCATTTTTGTTGTTGTTGTTGTTGTGTGCTATGGATGGGGAGAAGAAGAGAGATGGTTTAGAGGAATTGAATTGAGCCTAAAATGGAGGAGTTGTGGGTGGGGGGAAGTACATGTTGGTTTTTGCTGCTTGGTGCCTTTACTTAGATAGAACGCACCATTGATTCGCAATTTTTGACTTTTGCATTCCATGCTCTAAGCCTAAGGGGGAAGAATGGGGGTGTGCATTTGCTGCAGTTGCAAATTTATGTATCTAGCAGTAGTTGATTGTGTTTAAAGGGAGACTTTGAGTCTTTCCTATGAAATGGGATTTGAGCTAGGCAAATAAATGAATTTTAGTAAGATGAAAGGCATTATTAGGGGTGTCCATTCGAGTTTGGTTTTTCGGGTTTACCCGAAACCGACCCCATTATATACATTTTCGGTTTTTCGGGTTCAGGTTCGTTTTGGGTTTTGGGTTTTCGGTTTCGTGTTCGGTTTTGCTTATCGGTTTTTCGGGTTCCGGTTAAAAACCTCCAATAAATAGAACTCAGTCCGTATTCTTAGGTGTTCGGGTTTTTGGGTTTCGGTTTTGATTTAACCGAACCCGAACCCGATAAGGAATTTTCGGGTTTTGGGTAACCGGAACCCGCAAGTCGTTATTGGGTTCGGGTTCGATTTAAGTGGTTTTCGGTTTCGGGTTTTTTGGGGTTCTCAACATTAAATGTGTGCATCGGTCCGGTTTGGAACGGATCATACTCAGGAGAATCGTGGTTCAATAGTAAAAAAACATCTTAGAATCAAAGACTAGACCAGTAATGCATTCGGTCTGCTATGGTTCAATCCAAATGTCAATTCTGTCCATTTTTCATCAATATTTAAAAAATTTATAGGGCCTATGATTGAACCTTATTATATTTTGTTTGGTGCGCTCAAACCCAAACATCAAACGGGTTCGGTGCGATCCGGTACAGACCAACCGATTGCACATACCTACTGAACAGAACATCCCTAACTCACATGCAGGCTATAGGTGGCAAATGGATTGGATTGGTGGATCCATGGATCAAATGGATTGGATCTAATGGATTGGTGGATTCATGGATTGGATCAAGTGGATTGGTGGATTATCCATGAAATCCAAATGACATCCTCAACCAAGGACCAATATGTAAAATGTAAAAGTTTAGGTACTAAAATGTCACAATAAAAAAATTTAGGTACCAAAACGTAATTTTCCAATGATATTTTTCGTATAAAATATTAAATTTTAGATACCAGAATGTAAAAAATAAAAATTATAGGTACTAAACCGTAATTTGCCAATGATCCATGGATCCAATCCATGAATCCACCAATCCAATTGGATTTGGATCAAATGGATTGGATTTAAATGGATTGGATTAGGTGGATATTTTTAATGGATTGATGGATTGGATTGAAATTGCCACCTCTATGCAGCCTCTTTGGGGGTTCCTGAATGGGCTTTTATGCAACAACTACTAACTAGTAAAGGCAATCTAAGGAGACTATCAATTCCTCAATTGCTGGACCTAAAATTTTGAAAGGCCTGGGCTATATCAAAAGATTAAGCCCACCCTGTAATCTATAATAAGTTTACTCAAACCACTAATAAAGGTCCACAAGTTTAGAGCAGAATGAAGCTCCTTCAAGCTATTATTTGATTTCTTTTAGTTTTTTTTTAGAAGTGCAATGCTTTATTGAATAAAGAAAAAAAACAGACAAGATTTCTTTTATTAGTCATGAAGTATAATGCCAAAACAACATGAAACCAAAATTCCTCAAAAGAAAGAAAAGCAAAAAAGGGAAAAGACCCTCCAAACCCAACAATAACATAACCCCAACAAATAACTCTTAAGACAGTAAAAACCACAAAACAAAATGAGACTGAACAAAACAGAGGTCAGCCAAATACAACCATAGCAATACGTATCCCATATAGTTGGCCCATTCTAAGTTAATTAAAAATATGAAATCAACTTATCCAAAAAACCCAATTTTTTTAACAATTTACATTAAAATCCAAAAAGAAAGGGTCAAAAGTTAAAAAGAAAAGACATGAAGAAAATATAATTTATATCTTGATCAAGGTTAGTTGGGTTCAAAATAATAAACAATTTAATTGATATCTTATATAATCATTTGGAAGGATATGGGGAAAATGCACAGACAAGAAGTTGGTGAAATAGGAAATGGATTGGTGTCTTAGTTGACCGTCTACTAGAGATTTGACCAGGCAATCTGTGTTAGGTAAATGATTGTGATCAGCTCCCTTGGGGTCAAACCAAGCTGTCCCATTAAGGTTATGGATATGAGTGTGTCATTGGAATTAGTAGGTGGATTGAATATATCATCTCTTGAAAGCAATAATGCTTAATCATAGAGAATTAACTACCCCAATAAAACCCCATTTGAAGACTCTAAACACTATACTTAATGTGGGTTTATGGTTGATTTCTTGAAACAAAGCTGCAAAAAAAATAAAATAGAAAGGAACTTCACAAAATCAAATAAAAAAACTGAGTAGAAAGACATTTGACGTACAAAAAAACCCATTTGTATGTTTCTCATTGAACTTGCATTTGGCCCAAGTGTGTCTCCTCCGTTGGTCTGAAGTGGTCTACCCTTGTATTTCTTTGGTTAATATTTTCGTATGGCCTGAAATTTGACCAAAATAAATATCTTGGCCAATCTTTTCGATCTATAACATTCTTGCCCGAAATATACACAAAAATAAACAATTTGGCCAGATCCGACTTTTGACCGTTAACTTGGACGGTCAAACGCGTTGAACGTTAGTCAACGCGCCATGTCACTGCCAAGTCAACATAAAATATTTATAATAATTCACAATTTTCACACATTCCCTGATTTTAAATTATTATAAATTAAAAAAATCATCTAATACCTTAGTTAAACCAAAAATAAAAAACGAAAAAATTAAATATTTATCAGATCTTCTAACTTGGCAGTGACGTGGCACGTTGTCGTCCAAGTTAACGGTCAAACATCGGGCTTGGCCAAATTTTTTATTTCGGTGAATAGTTCGGGACAGGATATTATAGATCGAAAAGATTGGACAGGATGTTTATTTTGGTCAAAATTCAGGCCATACGAAAATATTAACACTATTTCTTTTTATTATTATTTGATAAGATATTATCACCATTCCCCAAAGAAGACGTTTAGATTATTTTAAATTTTTGTCCCAAAAATGGAGACGACGACTTTGACAATTTGGTACCTGAATTTCATATAGTCATTGGCCAATAGTATCAAACTCGGCTCCTTTGTCCACCCTCATTCCAACCTGCTCACACCTAATTCGGATGAATATTTACTTTCACTCATCATCCTCCGTTGTGAATTCGTAATATCGTACTTATGGTTAACGACCAAGACATATACCTTCGCTTATAGATAATTCAACATTATTATTCATATCACATTCTTATTTATACGGTGTTTTCCATACTATTAATTGAACTGATGCCTGTCTTCCTCAAATCACATATAAAAAAAAACGATTTAGTTTGTTCTAAATTACATTCGAATCGTGTAATTTGATTCAATTAGATGATGAAAATTTAGTTAATACAATTTTATAAATTTAAAATTCCCATAATCTAAATAAATATTTACGTCTATAATTAGTTTCACCGATTTGATCTCTGACGAACGACGACGATGAGATGTCGCCATCGTATGTGTCTGAAAACTTCCATATTGAATGACGTGTCCCACCGGTTCCCCTCTACCATTACCTAACCATTCCCCCTGTATATTTAACCTCCCGCCAACGCTCCTTTCCCAAACCAGGAAAAGAAAGAAAAAAAAAACAAAGGCAAAAACTCCCGTTACCAAACACCCACCCAATTCCCCCTGTTCCTCCCTCCGCCGCCGCCTGAATCCCCGCATTTCCTCCCCGTTCAGGCGACGGTGGTAGACATGGAGCCTCAAAACAACCACCACGGCGATCAATTCATCTTCCGCTCCAAGCTCCCGGACATCTACATCCCCCAACACCTCCCTCTCCATTCCTACTGCTTCGAGAACATTGCCCTGTTCGCCGACAAGCCCTGCCTCATCGACGCCTCCACCGGAGCCACCCACACCTACGCCGACGTCGACCTCACCGCCCGCCGCGTCGCGGCCGGCCTCCACAACGAGCTCGGGATCCATCAGGGCGACGTCATCATGCTCCTCCTCCAGAACTCCCCTGAATTCGTCTACGCCTTCCTCGCCGCCTCGCACCTCGGCGCCGTCGTCACCACCGCGAACCCGTTCTACACCCCGGTCGAAATCGCCAAGCAGATCGCCGCCTCGAAGGCCAAGCTCGTGATCACGCACTCCAATTTCGCCGAAAAAATCAAATCGGAAGTGAGAATCGTCACGATCGACGATGCTCTGTTTTTCAAATTCTCGGATCTGGTGAAGGAGGGGGAAATCGAACCGATCCTCCCCGCGGTGAAGATAAATCCCGACGACGTGGTGGCGCTGCCGTATTCTTCGGGGACGACGGGGCTGCCGAAGGGCGTGATGCTGACGCACAGGGGGCTGGTGACGAGCGTGGCGCAGCAGGTCGACGGCGAGAATCCGAATCTGTATTTCCATCGGGACGACGTGATCCTCTGCGTTTTGCCGTTGTTCCACATCTATTCGCTGAATTCGATCATGCTCTGCGGGCTGAGGGTCGGGGCGGCGATTCTGATCATGCCGAAATTTGAGATTGGGGCTCTGGTGGAGCTGGTGCAGAGGTACAGGGTGACCATCGCGCCGTTCGTGCCGCCGATCGTGCTCGCGATCGCGAAGTGGCCGGAGATCGATCGGTACGACTTGTCGTCGATTAGGATGGTGATGTCCGGCGCGGCGCCGATGGGGAAGGAGCTCGAGGATGATGTCAGGGCGAAGCTGCCCAATGCCACACTTGGTCAGGTAACAAAAAAGAAAAGTCGAATTGTGCATTTTATTTTTACCTTAATTTTTTTTTTAATTGTGCCTGAAATCGAACTCGTGATTGAAAATTTATGATAACATTGTAGTTAAATTGTGATGAATGATAGTATTATCCAATTTAATTTTTGTAATATAAAAGTAAAAAGCATAATAAAAAGATAATGACGTGCTATACTTGGTCTTTCAAATTATCTGAAATTCAGCTGTTATAATGATGGATTGAAAAATTATGATAATATTGTACATAACAGTAGAGCATGGAGCATGATTGAAAATTTATGATAATATCTTAGCTAAATCATAATATGAAAAATTGAGAATAATGGAGCAATGATATAATTGTGTCACCCCTTTATTTTTGTCAACGCTAAAAGTGAACATATCCAAAAGAACAGTTTGTACACTAGTCATTATCCATGGATCGTACTGAAATTTGTTATTTCGGTCCACCATTGATATATGAAATAAAAGTAGTTTCTATAACATTTTTTTTAGTTATGAATTGATGTTTTTGTTTGCTATCAACGTGGACATATGAGGTTCATGTTGTGGGTAGATAGCACTTCACTTCACATCACGTCAGATAAATCAGTTTCAATGTGGAATTATTGTTTATTATTGATTAATAACGTCTATGGTTTTATGTTTTGGCCGGAGGATTTGTAGGGATACGGAATGACGGAGGCGGGGCCCGTGCTGTCGATGTGCTTGGCATTTGCCAAGGAGCCGTTTGAGATAAAGTCCGGCGCCTGCGGGACGGTGGTGAGGAACGCCGAGATGAAGATCGTCGATCCGGACACCGGCGCGTCACTTCCCCGGAACCAGTCCGGCGAGATTTGCATTCGAGGCAGCCAGATCATGAAAGGTACTAATAAGTCCACTCTATTTTCCTTTTTTGGGCTTTTTTCTTTGTTTATTTTTTTTTTTCTAATGGACCTGGGCCGACCACGTCCGCTAGATCCCTAGAAACAGTATACGAGGTCGTGAGGTTGCAACACAAGGCGTAACCTAAAAAAGTTTTGTACGTTTTTTTGTGCTCGAATTGAATGAATGTAGCTAAAAAGTTCAAAGTTAGTTCTGAAAGAGCTTGGTTGAGGTGTCCATTTCGTTTTCCTTGTGGGTTAGTACACCAACCTAAATAAATGACAAGGTCCCATTTATGCTACATTTCCGATTTAGGATGAATGATTACTACACGGGTTCTGGGCCGCTTGTGGCCCAAATAAAGTGGGCTTTTATTTCATTCCGATCCAAATCTGAATTATGGGTTTATTTCAAGGCTACCTGAACGATCCGGAGGCGACGGAGAACACGATCGACAAGGAAGGATGGCTACACACCGGCGACATAGGCTACATCGACGACGACAGCGAGCTGTTCATCGTCGACAGGCTGAAGGAACTCATCAAGTACAAAGGGTTCCAAGTTGCTCCGGCGGAGCTAGAAGCCATGTTGCTCGCCCATCCCAACATCTCCGACGCCGCCGTCGTCCCGTAAGTTCCTTTCTGAAATGGGTGAAAGTGTGCTTAAAAAAATCGTTAAATACTGATAATTGTGACGGTGGCTGTTTTTTTTTTTTTTTTTTGGCAGGATGAAAGATGAGAGCGCAGGAGAGGTCCCCGTGGCATTCGTGGTGAGATCGAACGGTTCCAAAATCAGCGAGGACGAGATCAGACAGTACATTTCGAAACAGGTCATATTCTACAAGAGAATCAGTAGGGTGTTCTTCACGGACTCCATTCCCAAAGCTCCGTCGGGGAAGATTCTGAGGAAGGATTTGAGAGCCAGGCTGGCCGCCGGTGTTCCCGCTTGATTTTTCGATGTTTAATATATAGAGATATGTTGTAATTTCTCGTTGTGACAGTGCAATTTGGGGACTTGTAATGTTTAATTATGGAGGGGTGGTTTTCATTTTTGAGGATGTAAATTATGGGAATTGGGGGAATTGGGTGAGGAGGTTGGTAAATGGAGGTATTAATCATATATGTAATCAAACCTTTTTTTTTTTAATATGGTGTTCTTTCTGTGACGTTGAAGAGCATGCTAGTGACTTTCAAATAGGGATGGCAATGGGGCGGGTTTGGCTAAACCATCCCCATCCCCATCTTCAAATATCCAAACTCATACCCGCCCAATACCCATACGGGAGAATGTTTAGCAAACCCATCCCCATACCCGTGGGTTTCGGGTACCCATGGGTAATACCCATACCCGTACATCCAACATTATTATTCTAAAATTTACATGAAAAGTTTTAACTACAACTCTAAACGTACCTATTATATCACGAATTCAACAAAACGCGATCATTTTCTTAATACGGTTCAAAGAATATGATCCTAAAACAATTATTAATACATAATATAGAGTATAATATTTTTCAAATTATTATGTTCTAACTCTGATACATCTACTAAGTAATAATTAACTAACATAATCTTGTTGACAAGGGGGAAAGTGAAAGAGTGAAAGGAGAATTGAGAGAAATGAATTAGGTTTTTATTAAGGTGGTCACTCAATTGCATTTCTACTATTTGTTTCCTCGAGGTATCATCGTCACCATTGATATATTACAATTTTATCCATATATTTTTGTATATGTGAAGAAATTCTCTTGGTGGGGCGGATATGGGTATGGGGCGGGGGAGGCTAAAACCATACCCGCCCCATACCCATCAAACTTTTTGCGGGTTTTACCCATACACGGTCAAAGCGGGGATTACCAGCGTTGACTGGGTCGGGGGCGGTCGGGTACCCGCGGCCATGGGTTTGATTGCCATCCCTACTTTTTTTTTGTAGGAAGACGGACGTCATGTGTCCTAATTCATAACATTAATAGAACGATCCATGGAGATAGCCATGGAGTCATACATCAACCAGTTACAAAAACTAGGATCATACACATCGAATGGATGTGTACCAAAATTGGCCGAATGGCCCTTGCTTGCCAAGAAATCGGCAGTGTAATTACTTTCTCTATATATATGGGACACCTTGACATCCCATTCAAAATCCAGCAGAGTTCCAATACGTGCAGCAATGAGTCCATAACGATGATCCGTGTCTTTGTTGTTCTTCATGATACTGATCGTCGTCATAGAGTCGAGGTTGAGCTCAACCTTTCGGTGCCCTTTGTCCCACGCTCTTTGTAGTCCAATTTCAGCGCCTTTAAGTTTGGCTATGGTGATCGTGCAATTCCCTAAGTTACAGATGAAAGCGTCAAGACACCTGCCAAGATGATCACGAATGAGCCCTCCCGCCACCGCCTTCCCTGAACTTTGAAGAACAGATCCGTCAGTTTGGATTTGGACCCAGTTCTCCCTTGGTGGCCTCCAAGTAATGGGGGTGGAGATGAGCTGATTCCTTGGTGATAGAATGCTCCTCTCCTCGTTAATCTTTGCTTGCTGGTACACTCGAATCCAGGAGACAATCTTGCTAATGAGCCCTGTTTCGGAGAACTTTTTCCCATCCAAAGTCTCCTCATTTCTTTGCTTCCAAATCATCCAACACATGATACCAAATTCAAATCCTTTCTCAGCATCATTCAGGTTCTCCATCATCCATTGTTTGAAATTTCTTGTATCATGGACATATTGTCCGATTCTGAAGAAATGTCTGACTCCCTCTGTTTTTTTGCAATTCCTCAGGATGTGCTTAATTGGTTCCAAACCATCGTTGCAGGCCTTGCAGCTGCCATCATTTGTAAGTTTTCTAATCGTTCTTTCGTGGTTGGTGAGAAGCCTGTTGTGCATGACCAGCCAGAGGAAGTGTTTCACTCTGCTTGGTCCACTCCACTTCCACAGCTCCTTCCAGCCCTGATCATCCATCATGTCAATCTCGTTCGCAGCAAGCAGGTAGGCCGACTTCAGCCTGAATCGTCCATCTTGTTCAAGTCCCCAGATAGTGGTGTCCTCCCCCAATCCATGTTTTGGAGTTTCCATCCCTGCAATGCGAGACAACCAAACATTAGGGAGGAGAGAGTTAAGCTTTGTCCAATCCCACTCACCTTGTTCATTCACCATATCAGCAACTGAGGTAAGTTTCTCATCATCAGTCAGGGTTCTGAGGCAGTGTTCCTCCAGTATTGTGTCATGATCAATCCAGGGGTGGTTCCAAAACTCAGTTGTTTGCCCATCCCTAATACTCCAGACAGTAGCTTTTTGCATCAGAGGGTAGGCTTTGAGAATGCCTCTCCAAAGGCTGGAATGGAAACTTTTCTTCATTCCAGTGATTCTCCCTTCACGATGATGAAAGTACTTCCCCTGCATCACCTTAACCCAAAGCTCATCCTTGCTGTTGAGAATTGTCCATGCCAATTTCACCATGTATGCAAGGTTGAGACTTCGGGCAGATTTAAGTCTCAATCCTCCTTGCTGCTTCGGTCTGCAAATCTTCTCCCACGAGACCAGGTGGACCTTCCTTTTTCCTTCCTGGGAACCCCACACAAACCATCTAATCCTGCGATCAATTTCATCACACACAGATACAGGGAGCAGAGAAGTTTGTATTACCCAGAAATGGCGTTAGGAACAGATTAGGGATTTGGAAATTGGGAAGAAGAAGAAGGAATGCGAGGAAGTCAACTGAACAAGCCTCGTTCAATCTCCACAAAAAGGACTGACTCGGTTTTTGTGAAATGGGCTAAGTCAATCAAAGCCCACACCAAGAAATAATAAATCTGAAAAGAAGAAAAGCCCACTATGTAAGTAAGCCCAAGAACCCTGACTTAGCCATCATCTTCTTCTTCGTTCTAACAGAACTCGAAGAACAGAAGGACAAAGGATCAGCTAAGAACAGGGGAAGAGGAAAAACAGAGCAACTGCGAAAAAGAAGAACACCAGCGATTTTAACGAGGTTCCCCAAACTACTGGGTCAGTCCTCGTCCTAGACTCAGTACTTCACTGAGTTCTAGGAGACTCTGTTTTGTTATTGATTTTTCCTATCAAGCAAGAAGAACAAAACAAACCGACTCAAGAACAATGAAAAAGAAAGACAGAAGTAACAGCTCCCCGGATCCCGAATTCCAGACCCGATACACCGTTAATCAGACTAACCCTATACCTCTGTTCTGATTAACCCTCTTGAGTAAAAAGCCCTATCCCACTGATTACAAAAGATGCAGAACACATGATGCTGACGGGAGTATAAATAGCTTCTTGGCTAGAGGACCGTTGCGCTTGAAAAGGAGAGGAAAAGGAAAGCCTTTGATGAAATCCCTCTGATTCCGCAATTTCCATCTTTCCTTCTCTCAACAATCTCCCCCAAAGATGGAAATTGCAAGTTGCTGATGAATCCTGCAAAAAGAACAAACAAACTCCTTTCCAAACAACAAGCAGCAAATATCCAAGCAACATGCGATTAACGAAAACATCCAAAAGTCAAGACCACAGCCTGGTCAGGCAAACCACCACCACAAAACAATCAAGTTTTAAACCATCCAAAAATCAGAAGCACAGCCTGGTCAGGCAAACCAAACAAGAAGCACAAACGACCTACTCTCCTCAAGTAGCAAAACTCCCCCTAAGATCAAGCAGCATCGTCGTCAGAGTCCGATCCATAAAGGGCTTGTAGAGCTGCTGCAAATGGTGCAAGCTCAGGCGCATCATCACCATTAGTACTAGGAGCAGGAGCAGATTCCTCAGAGTCGGAGTCACTACTGATCACCAGGATGTCATCATCACCATTCTCCCCCGCAACTGCTATTTCCAGAAGATCCATGACGCCATCAGCAGTGAGGAAAATCGAGGGAGTCACCACCCGGAACGGATTGAGGTTGACATGAAGTCGAGAGAGCAGGGTGGTAATGAGAGGCCCAAAAGGAAGCGGTGAAGTGATGTTAACATCACAGAAGGAGATAGCTGAGCCGAAAAAGAGATCGGCAAAGCTGAGCGGTATTCCGTGAGCAGCGTGCACAAGAATCCATAGCTCCACAGGAGTGATCAACTGCAGATCACCAGATCGGGGCAAGAAGACACGAGAGATAAAGAAGTGCAGGGCTCGAAGAGAGGGCAAAAGTGCTGACACAGGCATCGAAAGATTTGGACCAGGGAGACGACCAGAGAGCTGGAGGAATTCCTCAGAAATATCAAAATTAAAAAGCGCAAGCTCAGACTCATCAGCAAGATTTTCCCCTATAGCAGGAATATGAAGAATGTGCTCGATTTCAGCCACTGGAATAGTAAGAAGCTGACCAAAAACCAGAGTGGTTAAAAACCGAGAACTCAGATGAGTAAACCGAAGATTGGAATAGAAAAACCGAACAGCATCTGGACAGATAACGGTGGAAAATGGATGGTTCAGTAAGAAATTCCAACCCAGGTTCTGAATAAAAGGGCGGACATCAAGTCCCACCTCAACCAGTTCAGGAATCTGAACATGATAAGAAGGAAGAACCTGACGGTTGGCAAAGAATAACTCATGGCGATGGGCATTTGCAGGGATAGGGTCTAAAAACAAAGTACCAGTGAAAGTACGCAGGAAGGGAGGAGCCATGACTTCCAGCAAAGACAAGACACAAAAAAAACACACGGAAGGAATATGAAGAGACGAGAAAGGAACAGGCACCTATAAATAGCAGGAATAACATTTTCATGACTTAACAGAGAGCCTATCAATTCATTTATAGGAAGAGTAGTTAGGTTTCGGGCTTCCTCAATGGCAGTGCGCTTGGGCAGCCATTCTTTAGGAAGAGAACGAAGAATTTTCCGATTTAGATCCTTAAGAAGAAATGTACGACCTAGCCCTTTGAGTTTATTGATAAGGACAGTAAACCTCGAATACATTTCATGTATAGATTCATTCCCCAGCATAGTAAACGCCTCATATTCATGAACAAGCAAGTCAATTCTAGATTCACGAATATTGGATGTACCTTCATACGTGCTCTGAAGGGCTAGCCAGATCTCTTGAGCAGATTCGCAGTTCTCCACTTGATCTGCCTCTTCTGAAATCATTGCCGATTGAAGCACATGCATCGCCCGTTGATTGAGTTGCGCACTCTTCTTCTGCGCGGCCGACCACAAGTGCTGTTCATCGAGATTCATCTCAATCGGACCATCTTGAACAATCATTCAAAGCTCTTCATCGATCCCCCACATGAACTGCTTTATACGCTTCTTCCAAGCTGTGTAATTTGCGCCGTTGAAGATCGGCGGATGATTCAGTGTAGCTTGACCAAACGAGGACGACGCCATTTGATCGCAACCTTGGCAGTAGTAAACTTCTTCAAGGTCCGGCTCTGATACCACTTATTACCCAGAAATGGCGTTAGGAACAGATTAGGGATTTGGAAATTGGGAAGAAGAAGAAGGAATGCGAGGAAGTCAACTGAACAAGCCTCGTTCAATCTCCACAAAAAGGACTGACTCGGTTTTTGTGAAATGGGCTAAGTCAACCAAAGCCCACACCAAGAAATAATAAATCTGAAAAGAAGAAAAGCCCACTATGTAAGTAAGCCCAAGAACCCTGACTTAGCCATCATCTTCTTCTTCGTTCTAACAGAACTCGAAGAACAGAAGGACAAAGGATCAGCTAAGAACAGGGGAAGAGGAAAAACAGAGCAACTGCGAAAAAGAAGAACACCAGCGATTTTAACGAGGTTCCCCAAACTACTGGGTCAGTCCTCGTCCTAGACTCAGTACTTCACTGAGTTCTAGGAGACTCTGTTTTGTTATTGATTTTTCCTATCAAGCAAGAAGAACAAAACAAACCGACTCAAGAACAATGAAAAAGAAAGACAGAAGTAACAGCTCCCCGGATCCCGAATTCCAGACCCGATACACCGTTAATCAGACAGATCCTATACCTCTGTTCTGATTAACCCTCTTGAGTAAAAAGCCCTATCCCACTGATTACAAAAGATGCAGAACACATGATGCTGACGGGAGTATAAATAGCTTCTTGGCTAGGGACCGTTGCGCTTGAAAAGGAGAGGAAAAGGAAAGCCTTTGATGAAATCCCTCTGATTCCGCAATTTCCATCTTTCCTTCTCTCAACAGTTTGTATAGCATAGGAAGGAATTGCATTAAGAACTGACAGAGCAAGGGTAACCCTTCCAGCGAGAGAAAGGCTTTTAACTTTCCAGGCTGAAAGTTTTCTGTCAATCTTCTCCAATATGTATTTGAACGTGTTCTTGGAGATTCTTCCATGGAGGACAGGTACTCCCAGGTACCTTCCCAGGTCTGCTGTCTCTTGAATTTCCAGTCTGTGACAGATCTCCCTCCTGTTTGGGCATTTGACATTCTTGGAGAAGAAGATTCTCGACTTCTCTTTGCTGATCATCTCTCCTGAGGCTGAGCAGAAAGCTTCTAAGCAGTCCATCACAACATCAGCCTGTCTCGAACTAGCCTCAGCAAGGAGCACCAGGTCATCTGCAAAAAACAGGTGAGAAAGAGAGGGTCCCCCTGGTGACAGCTGCACAGGTTTCCATCTCTTATCCCTAACAGCACTCTCGATGCAGTGGCTGAGCCGCTCAACACAAAGGGTGAACAGGTAGGGCGAGAGAGGACATCCTTGGCGAAGTCCTCTGCTAGGCACAAAGCATTCAGATTCACCCCATTCCATAGCACATGCAGATGCGTGGAAGACACACATTGCATAACAATAGAAACAAAATGGGAAGGGAGTCCAGCAAGGTTCAGAGTTTGCTCCAGGAATGCCCAATCAATTCGATCATATGCTTTTGCAAGATCGATCTTCATGAGCATCAGTCCCTTCTTCCCTGTTTTTCTGGCCATCGTATGAACCGTTTCCTGCAAAATCAGAATATTATCCGTAATGTTAAGCTTAGGAACAAAGCTTGTTTGATTTGGTTTAACAAGGCTTGGCATCAATCCTTTGACCCTATTCGCCAGGCACTTGGCCACTGTTTTATATCCAACGTTGCATAAGCTGATCGGCCTGAAATCACTCATGGAAACAGGGGAATCTTTCTTAGGGATGAGCACCAGCAGAGTCTCATTTATGGAGCTGATTCGGCAGTGGTTCACAAAACAGTCCTGGATGAATCTGCAGAAGTCATTTCCCACATTGTCCCAGCACTTCTGGAAAAAGAGGGCGTGGAAACCATCTTTTCTAGGGATCTTCAGGCCGTTCATCTCATTGATGATGGTTCTGATTTCTTCATTAGAAGGAGGGGCACTGATTCTGGAAAGGCGACGATGATCAATCTCAGGGAACAGGCAGGCCATCCCTACTTTCAAGTGGCTTGTTTCGTTCAATACTAGGTTTTAGTTTTCATAATCTGATTAAATTGGGCAGCCCGAACTGTACGTGCTACAACTGGAGCAAGGATGTTGGTGATGGGCCGGACCTAGCTCAAGAAAAT